AATAATGGATCTATATGCTTAACCTTTGGTTCAAAACTCATGCCAAACATTTGTCTCTTTTTGAAATTTAACATGACTTCTTGTTGTTTGTGTTTTTCCCTCGTCTTTGTACAGTTCTCACATCATGAACCAGGTGTCGTTCATGTCTTAGTCACTGGAGGTGCTGGCTACATTGGTTCACATGCGGCATTGCGACTTCTGAAGGACTCATATCGCGTGACAGTAGTGGTATTTTTCAGACATGAATTGTTCATTTCTCTGATCATTACTCTCCATTACTTTAATATGGCACCCTGAGAGACAGTATTGTCTTATTACAGGATAATCTCTCAAGAGGAAATCTTGGTGCCATCAAGGTCCTACAGCAGCTGTTTCCAGAACCTGGGAGACTTCAGTTTATATATGCTGACCTGGGTGATGCAAAAGCAGTATCCTCTTTCAGCATTTGTTTTTATAATTCTTTTTTAGGTGGAAGTTAAATATGGATTTCGAATTGTTACCTTGATCCATATGTCAGGTGCATAAATTTTTTTCAGAAAATGCATTTGATGCCGTGATGCATTTTGCAGCCGTAGCATATGTTGGAGAAAGCACCCTTGATCCTCTCAAGTGAGTGCCTTTTGATCTTATAGTAGTATAAATGTCTATAATAGTAGGTGTGACCATAAAAGATGCCTCAAAGCATGTTTTTTCCTGATCAACTGGTCTTGTGAGTAGTTTCTTATAGGTTGAAACTTCATGAAAGTTGTGCAATTTAAGCCCTTGTTTGGGCTCCACTTTAATGAATTTGTGGGAAAATGAATTTTGGAATAGTAATATTTGGGAGAATGTGGGGTTAAAAAGTAAGGAAAAGTTTTGTATTTACAGGTAATATTATTTTATTGAAGAAATGTGTGGTTGAAAATGAAGAAAGAGAAAAATGCATTAAATTAAAATGGAGCCCAAACAGGGGCTAAATTATGTCAAAAACATGGTTGTTTTAGTCTGCCCACTATTTAAGGATCACTTATATAAAAAAATCATTGTCTTCGCTTTCAAACATAAGAATATAGTTAAGTGTGGGGTGCATTTGCAGTTGTCATCCTAAGTTGGTCCGCATAGTTACTAACTATTGATGCTAGGCTCATTCTTAAATTTCCCCATTGTCTAGGCCAGTATCCATTGCGCTTTCTTGGCTTGTTTTATTTGAAATATTGTATGTTTAAACTTTACAAAAGTAAATGTTAAAGTGAAAAGCATATGGTCTAATTTGAATTTAGTTTGAGCTATTCCGAGTCATATAAATTTCAGTTCCTGTTAAATATTTTTTTATGATAATCATGTTTTCAATGCAGGTATTATCACAATATTACATCAAATACTCTTGTTGTATTAGAAGCTATGGCAGCCCATGGAGTGAAGACTTTCATATATTCTAGTACATGTGCAACATATGGGGAGCCAGAAAAAATGCCAATTACAGAAGGAACTCCTCAGGTGAGGGTTGTGAAGGGCTTTAGTTGCCTTTATGTTTAAGCTTTAATTTCAGTGCAATATAGAACTTCTTGCTGTGACTATTTGTTGGTTTGGAGTTTTCTTACCGAACACTAACAGCTTACCTTATTTTGCATTGTGCAGCTTCCACTAAATCCATATGGGAAAGCCAAGAAAATGGCAGAGGATATGATTCTTGACTTTCATAAAAATTCAGACATGGCTGTCATGATTTTAAGGTACAAGCTTTAATATTTATTAGTCATTTTCCATCTTACAAGAATGTATGAGCTTCCAACTTCTGATACAAATTAAGTTTCTGTTATAGAGATAACCTTTGTTAATAGTTGCACATAACGATTACATTGCTTTTCTTCTTCAGTTAGTTTAACTGAAATTATAGTAAAATTTTCTGTATTGTATTAAGAGTTTCTCGGATCTCTAAAATCTAGATATTGTGTGTTATTAAGTGATTGAGGGTGATAGAGCCTGATATTATTTCATCTCTAATTTCTTTTTAAGTTTTGTTTCCACTTCATTAGTGTGTTTTGAAGTGGTAATTTCATCCAGTCGTGATGACTGACTTGATCAATATATTTCTTTTGCCAAGTATGGGCTCTGACCTTTCCCACTTGTGTTATTAAACTATTTCTTTTACTTTATGCAATTTTATATTCAGATACTTCAATGTGATTGGTTCTGACCCTGAGGGAAGACTAGGAGAAGCTCCCCGTCCGGAACTACGTGAGCATGGACGAATATCTGGTGCTTGTTTTGATGCGGCACGTGGTATCATCTCCGGGCTTAAGGTCTGCTTATCTTTGCTATTCAGATTTCACTCCTGCTATACTTTTGCTCATAACATCTTTAAAGGAGAAATTTATTTATAGCTTGAGAACTGCTTGACAAACAGTTATATCTGTACTTCTGTTCTGGTTCAGGTTAGAGGAACAGATTATAAGACTCCAGACGGCACATGCATACGGGATTATATTGATGTCACCGATCTTGTTGATGCTCACGTGAAAGCTCTGGAAAAGGCAAAACCACGGCATGTTGGTATATACAACGTTGGAACAGGAAGAGGTACCTTATTTCTCCAAATGTTTGTTTCCAACTGCTAAAGATTATTGTTATTGACACTTTGTTCTTATCCCTATTGTCAGGTCGATCTGTCAATGAGTTTGTAGAGGCTTGTAAGAAGGCAACTGGGGTGCCCATTAAAGTTGATTTTCTGCCTCGTAGGCCTGGTGATTATGCAGAAGTATACAGTGATCCGACCAAGATCAGGGACGAGTTGAACTGGACAGCAAAACATACCGATCTTCAAAAGAGTTTGCAGATTGCGTGGAGATGGCAGAAGGCACATCTCAATGGGTACGGAACTCCTCAGGTGTCGTCAGCATAGATGTTTATGCAGTCAGCGTGCATTGTGGACGACTAACATAGACCTCCATTTTACTGCCTATTTTTGCCCAGTTCTATTAGCTCTTAGGGGAGGGGATTGAGGGCAGGGATTTGATATTTATTCTTTTAATTATCTAAATATATTCAATGTTCAACCATATGGCTCTTAGGGTCCGTTTGATAGCAACGAATTTTATGAAAAATGTAACATTCGAGAAAAACGAATTTCACTTTGGCCGTTTGATTGCAATGTGGAAATGAAAACTTAATTTCAAGATACAACCACTTTAAACTGCATTTTCTTTGTTTTCATGGAAAACGAATTCCGATGCGTTTGGTGGATTTTTATTTTCCAACTAGCATGGAATTGAATTTTTTTTTTTACATTTTACCTATCAAACGGACCCTTAGAGTTTGTAGGAAGCAGCCACTATTATATGTATTCGAAACATATATTTAGTCAATACTAGTGGCTAATGAGGTATTATTGATTTGTTATTGTATCCTCAATTTTTTTCCAAGAAAGTTTGAATCAGGAGATGCTGATTCGGGGTACTATCTTCTGACTATATTAATTTCATTTGTTTACTGGGACATTTTATCTGCAAAATCTGTCTACGGATTGCACAGAATTGTCAATAGATTAACTTTTAAAAAAAGAAAAAAAAACATTGTCAAACAAATTAAATTTATTAAGTCTTTGATACACATTTTTTAAAAATATATTTTTTCAAAACTCATTTTTAACTGCACATTCTTCTTTTATATCACATCAATAACTTTCTTTACTTTTTAACCATACATTTCTCATCATATCACAATTTAAATACATTATTTCCTTAATAATATTCATCAAACACATCCTAAACAAAAAACAAATGGTAAATTTCACCGGGGTTCCCAACCTTTCATAATTGTTAATCATGTTGTCAACCATTTAATATTGTGCGAGCAATATCTTCACATGATGGAAAATTTTCATTTACACGTTAAACGTTCATGTTTTATGCACGTGATGTGTTTCTAAAATTGTTCAAGAAAGATTTCCTTTATTTCATAAGGGGTTATATTACAACCCTGAGGAGTTGCTCAATTGGTCAGGTCTTGAGTTTGCTCCCCAATGGTCACCGTTCGAGTTTCCTCAGGGTCATTAAGGTGAGTACTGGCCGTAAACTTCAGGGCCCCGTGAAATTAGTCGAGGTGCGCGCAAGCTGGTCCGAACATCCACGGTTATAAAAAAAAAAAATATATATATATATATTACATTTTCTTATAAATGAACAACATTTGAATTGTCCTTCATCTTTTTTATTCTTAATCTTTCATTAATTTGCATTGCTTCCCTTTGATGAATTTCATCCAAAAATTCTTTTAGCGCATTAAAATGAGGGACAAATATTTAATAGTAATTTTGTTTATATATTTTTTGCTTATTTATAATTACGAGAGATAAATAAGTTTTTTAATCACTCTTTAACAAAATGATTGAACAATAATGTTGTCAATGACAAGATGTGCTAATAATCAATGTTGAGGATAAGAATACAATAAAAAAAAAATTAGGGAAGCAAGTATGACATTGAATAAAGGTTAGGTAAGTTATTACAATTAAAATGCAATGCAATTTATTTATTTTTTCCGAACAATTTTACCTTTTTGACAGCCATGTAACGTCTAAATAGACATTTTCCCACTAGGTTAAATACTGCATGCAGTGTTATAAAGTTGGGGATGTAGATGACATAAATAAAAGGTTAGGGAGCCGTCAAGAAATTTACCCTTATATAAATGATTTAGCATTGAAATTTTCGTTTTCTATCAAAATCCTCTTCCCCATCAAAGAAAGGACTATTGAAATGGTGAAGGCAAGTCAGTCTGAACTCTGAAATCTCAAGAATAGAATCTGAATTTGTTTCATCTGTTTGCTGCTATGTCTCAGAATAATAAAGAAATCAGGAAACCTCAATAGTAATTCACAGAAAGACCAGTTATACACAATCAATCCTCTCTTTCTTGGGAAACATATGGTACCAAAGACATCTTCAACCAGTAAAATTATATAATGTTGCATCTCTCTACATCCAAGGGTACTTTTATGATAAATCGACTTCGATGTAAGTTTATGTAAGATCATCTTCATCCAAGGGTTCTTCTAGATCCTTTGTGTCCATCTTAAATGCACTTACATCACCTGTAGGCAGTTTCCTTGCAAGCTTGACAATCTGCAGAAAACTTACTTTAGCTTAAATCATTCCATTATCAATATGAGCATTGAAGATAATGAGACAAGTAAAAGGATAAAACGAAGAACTACTGAAAATTTTCATTTGTCAATTTGTTTTGAGTTCGTTGGTACAACCTTACTAACATGGGCAATTTTAGAATCTGAAAGTGTTTCCACTTGCATTTCTTTATGAGACGTACAATGAATGGGAAGTGCTTCATTACTTATGTGGACATCCATAAGTAAATAGATGCGGTAATTCCTTGCACAATCATTAATTGCATAAATTTTGAATTATGAAAATATGAAGTCTGCAACTAAAAACTCACCAACTCCTCCCAACAGGTTTAAACCATGAAGCAATATTTGCATGTTTTCACCACAAAAGTTGATTTCATTTTCCAGAGAGAAAAAAAGTTGATCTGAATCCAAAATGATAATAGACAATGTTTAATTAAATGTCTTGGAACATTTACCACGTGATCAAGATTGGAGATAATGCTTGATTGAGCCGCACGTTTGATTTCTTCAACATCACCTTCAGTGTATGCAGAAAGGAGTCTACTGGCAGCACGATTTTGATCGCTGTTCAAAAAAGCTTCAACCCTGCCAAGAATCAAAATTGCCATGAGTAGCGAATAAAAGTAGGATAACTTTCCTAGAATGATTATGATGAAAAACATATTATCAGCAAGACGGTTGGATAAATGAAAAGTACACGAATTAGGTCTTATAATTTAAACACATGCTTATGCAAGGATGGAAGAAATCCTTAGTGAAGGATAGAGGAAGAAATTCCTCAATCCTCATCTTTCTCGCAATGCAAAATACAGGAAGATCAAGAGAGGGGCAAAGACCTGATTAAAAGACATCCATATTAGAAATTCGACATCTTTCCCATTTAATGATAACTTTTGGGACTTTGACCCTCCGCAAATGAAAAGGGAAACTACTCTGGAATTCCCTAAATTTTTCCAAACATGATTTCATCACTTTAACTTCGTTTCAATTCAATTTAGCCTTTCAGTTAAAATTATGAATTGTCACATTACACGGGCCATGGAGGGTGAAAAGAGAATTCTGGTTTAAAAAGCTAAAAACAAATTATAAGAGAATAGAAAGGGGAAAATAATCCCCTTGTCCCTTTCATCTCATTCAGTTTAGAAACATCATTTCCCATTATTTAGGCACATCTAGAGAAAGCCCACATATCCTTCTTTCCTAGAATGGAACCAATATTTTTGTCAGGTTCTTCATTTTGTCACCCATCAAGATGTAAAAGGTTTGACAGTTGCAGTAAGGCTGCCTAGCCACGAGCATGCGTGTGCGGATAATTCAAGGCATACCATTTAGTACTTTTAATTCCTATCCAGCAATGGGAGGCATCATTGGAGAATGCCAACAGAGTAAAATACAAAAGCCACAAAAAGGTCAACTTACTGACAACAATCGTTGTAACACTTCTCTGCTTGCTGGAAGTCGTGAGCATAAAGATGCACAATGATTGCACTGAGATAAGCCTACATCCAAAAGAGGTTAAGCTAATATTTCCAGGACACAAAAAGGACTTCTGGACTTCAAATATTATTTGCATTTATTACAATTGTGTTTTTGTTTCAGAAATAGACAAATTTTCTTACGTATAATGATTATAATGTTTCCGGTGCATACAAAAGCATCTTCAATGATTGATCTGTTAAGATATCAATCAATAAACGTCCTGCGTATTTTTTGGCATATTGCTTGTTCTGAATCTTAATTTACTGGTTGTCAAGGTAGTATGATCTATTCAGAGCCACTACTGTATTCCCAAAACCACCTAAATTTCATTTCCTTAATTCTTAAACCAAAATAACTACTGCAGTGACTTCATAAAAAACTAAAATTTTTGGGATAAATAGAGAAAATCTGGGAATAAATTTGAATCTGTGATGTTATTAGCCCCCTCATAGAAAATAGAATAGACACATTAAAGCCTATTCAACGTAATTATCTTACTGTTGTATTCGTCAATACATAAAATGGAATAATGCAAACAAAGTGTTAAATCAATATTTCAAGCTAACTATAGGAAGGGAAATTGCATCAAGAAAGGCTTTGAATAGATGGAAACCAAACAGACAAGCTTTCGCACCTTGCATTGGCTATGGGTAGCATTGCACTTATCAGCTGATAAGGCCCATCTTAAAAGAAAAGTTGCAGCATCTGCATACCTGTATAGGCAGCAAAACTTTCTTTACTAGAAACAGAAAAAGAAATGATACACATATTGGCACGAGTTTACCGTCCAAGTGTGAGTAGGCCACTAAATGGATGCTAAGAATAATACCCCATGTCAAATCCACAAGCTGTTAATGGGATAACTAATTGCAACTTATTTTATGCTCGAGATTGTCAAGGATACAATCATGGATGGTAAATCTATTTTTGTAAAAGCTATACCTTTTCTTAGGAAAAACATTAGTGAGAACCAGAAATGATAAATGCAAATTCACATGTTATGTGCATAAAATAAAAGTCATGTACACTTACAGCCAATGCCCCTCCCCGCAAAGAGAGAGAGAGAGAGAGAGAGAGAGAGAGAGAGAGAGAGAGAGAGATGTTCAAGTGAAAACTTGGCATAATTGAATAATCATCAATAGAGAAAATAGTAAATTTTGGCAGAAACGGATGTCTGGCAAATAATCTAGAACAGTCACCATGAGAACAAATGAGATGGGTATTCTGATCATTAGTATTGAGGAACATGTCAAGCTCAATTTTTTATTTTTATTTTTTGAGGAAAAAAGTGCAATATGAAACTTAAAAGTAGAGCACCAATCTTACACAATGCTAACAAGAAAGAGTACTAAGCCCCTGTTTGATACACATTCTTTCCAAATACATTTTTTCAAAACTCATTTTCAATCATACATTCTTCAATAAAATAATATTTTCCATCACATCAATAACTTTTCCTTACTTTTTAACCACATTTCTCATCATATCAGTATTTAAAATACATTATTTCCTCAATAATATCCATCAAACACACGATAAGCAACTCATTGTTTCTTCACTTAATTAATGTTTATAAGGAAAAAAAGCTTACTTTTCAAGCTTTATATAAACACTTGTAGCAGCACGATATAGATCAAAGGCCATTTGTTCCTTTCCATCCTCTTCTAGAGCATCACAAGCATCAGTGTAAAGCTGAATAGCTTCCTCGGGTGCAACATCTTCTAAAGCACTTTAAGAAAACAACAGTTTTATGAGTATCAACTATTATAAATAAATGATTGAACTTACAGGTCCATCTACAAAATTTAATGCAATTGAATTGAATTAGTGGGTCAAATTGCACCAAATATTATGCACATATCACTTCCTTTCCTTTGATAAGACTGGCTCAAATGCCACAGAGGCATTTATAGCAGTTATCAAATGAACGAACAACCGGGAGCAATTTACTTACTATACTTAGTTGACATTCATAAAATGTAGATATTATTGAAAAAGGTTAGAACATATAGAAAAGTCTCAGCAAATGAGATAGGAATTCCAGTATTTCACACTCAAAATATTACAGCATGCACGTAATTGATGTTTCAAAACAGCAAACATCCATCAATAGCATCGTCTTTACCAGATCAAGCAATCTGCAATTTCGCACAATTTAAAAATCATAATCTGTAGTTTCTATAAATATAGTCATACCAACACACACACACACACACATATATTGAACACTTCACAAAATACGAGATGTAATAGACAAAAACTAAGGCCCTGTTTGTTTCGGATTAAAATCAGATTTTAATTTAATTCAAAGTCAAACAATCAATATTAACCACATCTTTTACGGGTTCCACATCTTTTCAACCACATATTTCAAAAATTTCTATCACAATCTACCAGAACTCTAATTTTAATCCCCATCAAACACCTACTAATTATAACAAATTGTCTATTAAATGAGGAAACTCCTTAAAATGTAGTATCATAGGTATTGACGCTACAACCAGAAGAGAGTAGAGCATTTCATACCGAGCACCCTTTGCAAGTGCATCTGATGCAGGTTGTGACCTTCCACACTCAGTAAACAACTCAGATGCATGTCGAGAAAATTCAGACACTTCTTTCCAGTTGCCTACTTCCTTTGCAAGAACAGCTGCAGATTCCATATGCTTCGCAGCATCCCAAGGCCTGATTCGTTCGTCAAGGTTTCCAATATTATACAGCAAGATACTGTATAAATCTATTAGATTACTTGTATTAACGAAGGTTAAAACAACTTGGATACGAGGAGAGCATTTCTTGTCCTTTTGAAGCTTTCTCAAACGCTTCTTTTGCTTTCTCATAATTTTTTGCCAGCCTATATGCATTTGCTGCCACATAAGAATGAAACCCATATGAACTAATAAGAAACGAACACATAAAATTGCTCCAAATATAATTCCTTCTCTTTAACCTCATATACGTTACATCAAACATACCCGCTTGCTCATACAGAACAGTGGCACCCTTCCAATCTGCACTCCACCTTGTCATACTGAGTTTTGTTCTACAAAATTAAATGGAAAAAATACAACAAAAAATAATTTTTACCATAATTAGTCTAATTATTTGACTTAAGGAAACAGAACTGACACTGGTTTCTACTCGGATTTAGATCAATTATTTTATTGATTGCCTCATATAATCAATATTTTAGGACATTGACCAGTGAAGAGCCCCGTACAACATAATCATCCAGCGTAATGAATTTGTTATATAAAAATTATCAATAAACTCGTTAAATAGTTCAGATCAGTACTGTTAAATCTATATCAAATAGTATAGAAAAAGAGTAAAACAGACAGTTTATCGGCTTTGGTGATCAGCTTGTCAGGATCGGAATTGGCCATGGTTGATCGACTGATGAAGTTCTCCTTGGGTCGAAGCTCCTTGCTTTGAGTTTAAGAACTCTAAAGCAATCCTTGCCAAGAAGAAACACCTTTATGAAATGAGAGACTTGCACCCTTGGTCCCCAAGCTATTGTTATAGTACAAAATTGGTTCCTAACTATTAAAAACAAGCAAGTTGGTAGTTATACAATTAGTCCCAAATCTCCGTTTTGGGGCTAATTACGACAATGGATATTGAAGTTTTAAGTAATTATGTCAATGGTCATTGGCGTTATTTTCTTATTATAATAATTACTCAAGTTTATAATTATTACATTTATGATCACTAGGTTAAAAAAATGTTAAATTCTACGTGGAGAAATGTCAACATGTTACCAAACATTATTATGCCAAGTCAGAAAAATTGGGTATTGAGAATTAAACAAGTTAATATGATAATACAATATACAACTTTAATATTAATTAGATTTCTAAGCTTAAATAGAACGATAAACCCACACTGTTTTTTATTTACAAATTTTGTTCACTTGGCATAATAAATGACGACGTTTTGTGACATTTACACTTAATGGTGCAACATATGATTTAACCTTAGTTTATTATTATTATTATTATCGAGTGATCATTATTGTATCTGTTGAAAACTTGAGTGACTAGTATTATAAGAAAATAATTCCAATGACCACTATCGTAGTTATGCAAAGCTTCAGTGACCATTAGTATAACTAACTCCTCCATTTTGTAGGTGGATCTTGCATGCTAATTTTGAATCAAGACACATTTCTACGATGTCAGCATGACAATTGGCACGATGGTTTGCCCAAAATAATTGGACGATTTTGAATTAAAGTTACATTATGCAACGATATAGAATGCAACTAAAAAATTCACCAATTAGGTAGTCCTAACTCCTAACTATCTTTTGTTGATAACCTTATCTCAACAGTAGATAAACTTCTCAAGTGCTAATAATCTCGCTGTAAATATATATTATGGACCTGTACATTTTGGGAGTAAGAATGCATTTTTACCGTTGATGTGATGGAGAATGTGATTGAAAAAGAAGGAAAAGTTAACAATTACATTTTACCAACTTAAACTAATTTTTTAATACAAGTTCTTTAGACTATAATGGACTGGTTTTCGGACCAATCTCAGTTTCAAAACACTATAATCTGTTCCAAGTATTGCAACATCATATTCACTTGAATGTTTTCGAGTGTTACTAAAACCAGAAGAGAGTCGAATTGCCATTGCATTTGTTGAAAACTCGGTGAATTTTACTTAGTTGTGTTAATGACCAGAGGTGTAAAGTGAGAAGAGAGTGATCGATCAACTAGACAAGGCCTGGCATATGGCTGGTCCGATGGCAAGCAAAATTCTTGATTGTGCCACATTGAATCGAGCGAAAAAGCCATGCAATTAGATTAAAAAAAAAAAAAAAGGATATCTATTAAACTTTATGGAATTAAATAAATGCAAATGCCATTAATGGATCTGAAGAAATATTCTCATGGCAATCTTTCTCTACACAGTCAGATTGAGATTTAATTTGAACTCATTTCCCATAATTATTGACATTCCTGATACCTGCACTATAGCAAACCCTCCACTGACTTTTAAACTAGTTCTTGCCCCAGTGTTCTTGATCATCCACTTTGTTCCTGTGTTGATCACGAGTTCATGACTCATCAATTTTGTAACATTTTTCAAACCCAAAAATGTTACCTTTTCTACAATCCATTTCTGGCTCAATGCATATTCTTTGTTAATTACATTTGATTCAACTGTTACTGTACTTCCAGAGATTCTGCCATTGTATTGTATTAATGTCCATCTCCCTCCTTCTCTTCCCATCTCGACTTCCTCTCCATCATCCAAGAACACCTCTCCCGTGCTGTTCTCCTTGCTGCTGAGAACCACCAATAGTTTGAATGGTGTTTTCCGAGCTGCTTGTGTTGTTAAGGCTTCTCCTTGCATCGCTATTATGTTTCCTTCCCGTAAATGAACATTTATATGATCAGGTGGTGAATAGAGCGTTACATGTTTTCCTTGATTCAAACTCAACGAATTAGAATAGTTGAAGAGGTTAAACCAATTTCCTGCTGGAAAATAAGCATTGACTGAGATTACTCCTTGCTTCAATACAGGTGAGACCATTACCCCTCTCCCGAGAAGAAACTGGGAGTCGATTTCATAAGTATTGATGTCTTCAGGGAATGAGAAGAAAAGGGGTCGTGCTATGGGTGTTCCTCTCATGTGCGCCTCGTACATTAGCATGTAAAAGTAAGGGAGTAATTGGTAACGAAGACCAAGCGCCTTCTTGGCTGCCGTGGCAACTGAGTCCCAAAGATAGAGCTCTTGATGGGTAGTATCGTTTGCAGAGTGGTCTCTTGAGAAGGGATAAAAGGCTCCTAGCTGCATAAATATAAGGAGATAAGAACAATCGAAATTGGTCATGACCTTTTTTTTAAAGAATTAAACTTCGAATTATATTTGAGTTCGAGGACCCTACCTGAATCCAACGCTGACAGAGCTCTTCAGTAGTGTTTCGAGAGAAACCACATATATCTGCTCCAACCATAGGAATACCAAACAGTCCAAAATTTAAGATGCTAGGAATTGAGTACGCCAAATCCTCCCATGTAGCTGCATTATCTCCAGTCCAATGTGCTGCGTATTTCCCGGAGCCAACAAAAGTTGATCGAGCAAGAATGAATGGCCTTTTACTTGTTGCTATGACTAAGGCCTGATTTGTGGCTTTGGATTCCAAAAGTCCATAAAGGTTATGAGCATCATACTCTGTGACGTTACCAAAATGCAGGGAAGAAGCAGGAACTGTTCTAGAATTAATGGGGTTTTGAGCTCCCGAATTGTTAATTTTATACGGAGGATCATCAAGCATAGAGAGTGCACTAGGAGATGAAGATATGAAATTTGATATCTCATTCATGTCAAGCCAGAGGCCATCAAATGGGAGAAGATTGTGAAAATTACTGATTTCATTGCTCCAAAAAACTCCACCAGCAGGATTTAGAAAATCTGGGTAGTAGACTTTTCCTGGCCAAACAGTCCCCATATAAGGAATATTATCCCGTTTTATGAATACGTCTGCCTGCATTCCTCTAATGTATGTTTCATATGTCTCGCTCACATGGATACCTGTGGTTGAAACGTAAAATTAACAAAATGTTGGCAATTAAAAATTTAAAAAAACAAGAGTTACAAAGAGTTACCAGGATCCAGGATGAGAACATATTTCTGATTATTTTGGTGAAGTTTGTTAACAAAACTCTTCATTCTGTCCAAAGGAAAGTTAACAGGATCGAGTGTGAAATCCTTGAAACCATCCATATAGTCGATATCAGTCCAAATAACCTCAAGAGGAATTCCAGCTTTCGCATACTGATCAACGACTTCCTGGATATCATTAACATTTTTATAACCCCATCGGCATTGATGAAACCCTATACGCATTAAAAGAAAAATATTAGCACAAACTTTTTTTTTTTTTGGTCTCTGATTTTCTATTCAGCAAAAATAGCAATCAAAAGTTTAACATTCACCAAATGACCAGTAAGGCATAGGAGCAGGACGGCCAACGAGCTGTGTGTATTGATCCATTACCATTTTCGCGGAGGGTCCAGCAAAGAAATAAAAATCCAGAACACCACCAATAACCTTGTAAGTGATCATATCACCAGTGTACACTATGTCCATGCCATTACTATTGAGCAACAATACCCCTTGAGCGGTTCCCATGGGGCTCCTGATGTCCATGTAGAAAGGGTGGGATCCATATAAATTGAGATCAGGATTGGAACTTCCAATGTCAGCATTCCAGAGAGTCAGCATCTGTTTATGTTTCAACTTGAACGAGCTCTTAGTGTGCTCGCCAAGACCATAAATGTTGGACCTGTTCGATGGAAGTGAAGATGACACTTGGACGTACTGATCTTTGAAAACGACGAATGTGTCAGGATGGCCTGATACTGGTGAGGTGTCAAAAAGAATGTCACCCGTGGAGAGGCGTCTGACACTGAAGCCAAATGGAGTAGTATAGTGAAGGGTAAATACAAGATCTGAGTTGACATTGGAGAGGAAGTGGTGGTAACCAGTTGAAACTTGGTAAGTATGAGATGGCATTTGACGATGAACAATGTTGTTTGGCACTTCCCATCGTTGATGGGTAGAGTCTGTTATTCTAATTCTTAGGCAATCATTTGTTTCAAAGCTGCATCAATGCATAAATAAATATAAACATAAGAATTATAAAAGTTAAATCAACAGAAGGATCATGAGTTCATAAAAAATTAATCCTGTATAATAGAAATTTTGCTCTCTGTTCCCCAGTTAAGACATTCCAAAATTTTCATCGAACTGTGGTAATATTCAGTAGTTCAGCTGTGGACCTACAAATTAGAATTAGCATTCAATTAGAATTTAGAACTCATCTCTAGCTGCAACAATCTGCCTAAAGTTAATGCACCACTAGAATGGATTAAGTCCTGATCCCTAGTATCAAAAGCCATATAATAAGAAAACAAGCAATGGGTTGTGACAGATACGTCCACTTGCACCCCCAAAACCAGCTTCGTAGACTTAATTAGACTCTGTGCAGTCCAACAATTATTAGGACTTCAAATTCAGCAAGATTTATCACCAGCAAATAAATTTAAGCCTACCTGGCTATGAGGTTGAGATTCTGAATATCAGGGCCAAAAACCGAGGAATTTTCGATGAGTTGAAGAGCTGCAGTCAATGATCTTCCACTTGAATCCTTGCCAACTGATTTGATAGTGTAGCCATAACCAATTGGCAGCTGAGCTTCGTTTTCAGCAATAGATGTCTGACCAAAGTAAAAGGAAACTAAAAAACAGACAAAGATAGGTGAAAGAAAATTGTGCATTCTTGTCTTCTTCCTTGGCCTGACTGAATGATTGAGTTTCAGTCATGAAGCATGTTTTATCTCTACATTTCTCAAGTCCCCACTAAAAAAAAGTACAGGATGTCACTTTCCAAGCTCCCACATATGACTAATTTCTAGCCTTTTTCCTGTTTGTCACTGTAAGCGAGCTATACCTGCTTTGTCTTGATTTGAGCTTTAAGATTCCTAAAATCGAAGCAGTGGAAAGGGACCGGCCTATAATACAAAAGAAACGGGACAATTATTTTCATTTTTCCTGTCAGCTAGCTCCTGATTTTCACTATTGCAGCCCTCAGTTAACCCCATGGCACCACATAATTCACAAAGATTCAAAACCCAATGCATCTTCAGTATCCAATCATTTGCATGCAGAAAATTTAAAGTTACTGAAAGAATACTAAAATAAAAATAGTAGAAGCAATCCTTAACTTTTGAAAACCCCACTCAGGCAATTTATCAAACACCTTTTGCCATGCTCAAAATCCTACGAGCAAAGCCTTGAGCTTCCAAGAATCACAATAAAGATTTCTCTTCTTCATCACTTGAGTAAGTTTAATTTGGCATAAGTTTGATAGGTATCAAAAAGTACTCCCGTATTTGATTCCACCCAAATTTCGTTTTATTGCTATTTTTTCTTTCATTGAAAATAATTTTCGACCTGTGAAAATATACCCAATTTTTTAAGCAAAACATTTTATTTGGAGGAGTAATTTTTTATTTTTCTTAAAATAAGAAAAATATTTCAACGTATTTTTCGTACCAATCAAATATACTCTAATTCCCATTTTTCTACGATCTAATTCCTTAATTACTTAATTTATCAAATGGTAGTTGAAGTTTAGGCGACACTTCAAATTGGTCCTTATAGTAACTTTATGACTTGTTTAGTTACTAAGTCTTGTTTGATTTTCATTTTTTTTCAAAATATGTTTTTTTTCTATTTTCTTTTCACCACATATTTTTCAATAAAATAATATTACAGACAATTCAAAAAATTTTCCTTGAATTTTAACCACATATTCTTCATTGATCTACTATTTTAATATACATTTCACACAAAAAATAAGGTTCAAACAAGCCATAAAATTAAATAATCTTACATAATTAGGCATTCTTACAGCGTCATCCAATCTAGATTCGATGTTTACGTATTAAATCTTGACATCAACTAATGATAATTACGTAAGTCTTGTGAAATTATAGATTTTTCTTTTTAAAATAAAGCGTGTCTTTAAAAGAAGTTATCGTAACATAAATTCGATATATCCCAAATTGACCCATCTAACCTAAAGTTGATGGCTGACATTGATATATTAAATCTTGACATCAACTAATGATAATTATGTCCATGATTTTTAAAATAAAATGCGATCTTTAGAAGAAGTTATCATAACATAATTCGATATTTCCTAAATTGACCTATTTAACATAACATTGTTTATCTTCATTAATAAGTTGTAGAAAGATCGCGGCACACCTAAAGTATGATGTCGACTAGAGTGAATCAATTGCTTTAATCGATGTGAGTCCACGCGAAAATTTTAATCAATCTAGTAGTATAATTAGTAACTTTATTTAACATTAAAGATTGACTAGATCATTAAAGTAAATTAAATTTTTGCTTGAACTTCAGTAGATATGGCAAATAGGTTAAATCACTCGTTCGACTCAACTCATGTGTGGCTCGAGCTCATACCAAGACGAGCCATTATTCGAGTTGAGCTTAATATTTATTCACGAATTGGTCGGTTTTTGACTTTCTCCATTAATTTCTTTTAAAAATAGAAACGACTTGTGAATAGTTCGATTCGACCCACAAGATCTATGATTGAAAGAGATGAATCCAGCTTAATTATAGAGACGATTGTCTAACGATCAAACTGGCTCAATTCGATCTATTGTCACTCCTCCACTTTAGTTACCACTTGTAATATAAAATTAGCTAATTCCAAAATTCTTAATAGTTCAAGACAAACATCGTAGGCATTTTTTTAATGAATAAATGTTTACAACGGCTAATGTGCTCAAGCCTTTTGACACGTGGGATTTTAAAAGTAGTCGGACCCACCCACTTACTTTTTTCCCGTTGCAGAGTGAAGCCCAAAAATCTCTCCCAAAATTACGAAGAATTCTTCATTCCCATATATAAACCCACTCACGAAATCTAACGAGAATTCACCAGTTCCCTGTTTTCCAAAATCATGAATCTCAACATTTTCAAGAAGAAAACTTCACCCAAGGGTAAGCCCTATTCTCTCGTTTTTTTTTATGTGTGTTTGTATTATCAGTTTCACTTGATTTTAGTTGAAGAGAAAGAAGAGTGTTTTGTGAAAATCGTAGGTATTATGGTTTTCTGTACTTGATTCGTATTTGGGGAACTCTCAATTTCGTTTTCCTTGTAATGTCACCATACTTTTGGAGATTTGAGGAGAGTAAATTAACTTTTATTCTTACCTTTACCAAGTTTTCTCTCCATAAAGAACTTCCTGTTCCGTCTCTGTGTGTGTGCTGCGGTGGAGTGGTAGTAGGCCTCCGGATCGGGGTAAATGTATTAGATTGATCAGAATAATTGGATTAATGAAATCTGATTTAACAGATGCACTGAGGACTAGCAAACGGGAAATGGCTGTCGCCACAAGAGGTAATTCTTGCTTTTTCTACATTTATACAATGACTTTCCAGATCCTTGTGTTTGTGCACGTATAATTTTATTCAGATGGCACTTTGTTACAATAATAAGGGTTTAAACGGTTTTTAAGGTGATTGCATAAGAACATTTGAAAAAAGGTTTTTAGGGATTTCATTGATATGGTCGACTTAGTATCTCTTTTCCCTTACCAGAACTTTAGTTTAGGTTTTTCGATATGATAGGTCTCAATCAAAAGAGGATTTCAATAGGTAGATAGATAATACTCTCTTTGGGTGAGAATGAATCCACAAATATTGGATAAATATTTTCTCCTCCTCCTCAATGACTAGTCAACAGAATTTAGACATGAAACTAACAACATTTTCTGGATTCTTGATCTCATCTTCCGAAAATAAAGACCAGAAATCATACTATCAACAAACTAGAAACAGACTAAAATGTAACTGCAAAATAATAGGTAAGAAATACTAAACAATCTCCTCCTTGGATAACAAACTTGACTAAGTCGCTGTTACAAGCTTGAACCACGTCTTCCTTAATCCCATGCATGCACACGATTCTCATTCACCTCATGATCCTGTGCACCCTCAAGTGGACACTGGATGCTGCTTTTGGAGGTCTTCCTGGATGTTGCTCACTTTCACTTGCTTTGTCTTCACGCGGGTTTTCCTCTATGATCTCTTCGCAGATAACACGATTCTTCTTCACCCCATGATCCTATGCATCTTGGGCACGTATGAATACCTCTCCCTCAAGTGGACATTTGTCCCCAAGGTCGAGACCTGGATGCTGCATTTGGAGGTCTTCCTGGATGTTGCTCACTTTCACTTGCCTTATCTTTTGTCCTCTATGATCTCTTCACAGATAATTTTACCAATGTTTGTACACCCCTCAAGCAATAAAAGTTGTTATTTGGCACTTATGACCAGCGGTAACCCTATTATTGCAATTGAAACAAAGACCATGTGCTCTCCGTTTCTGTATTTTATCCCATGTGAGCCTCTTTACAGGGGATGCTAGTGTGGGTCGTTTAGGAGAAGGAAGGGTCCTCTGCAGCCCGTTGGCTGGAAGTGGTTGGAAGTGGTTGTGTGAAACTCTGTTGGTAGAGCAGCTGCTCATCTTGCATCCGAGCAAGGTTAATAGCTTCCTTCAACTTTTGTGGTTTGAGCATTCAAATGCCTTCAACCATCTCTGGTTTGAGTCCAACCATGAAAGTTCCTACCAATGTTTTGAGTCCACTCCCTGTATACGGTTGCCCAACTTCTCAAATTCATGCTAATATTCTCGCAGAGAACCAACTTGATGAATATGGAAGAGAGCTTCATCAAAATCTTCTCCATTAGTGGGTCCGAATTGAGCCCATAGTTCTTCCTCAAAGATGGCCCATGTCACCTCCCTTCTTTCCTCCTTGAACGTACAATGCAACCATTACCACCATTAGTTGGCTTCACCCTATAAGTGAAATGAGGCTAAGAAGACTTTCTGTGTCTCTACTGTGCCATGAAACTCGAAGAACTAGTCCACTCGAGCAAACCATTGCGTCGTGTCTTCACCTGAGTATTTTGGAAACTCCAGCTTAGCTGTTTGGGATGAACAATCGGTTGATTGACTTCAATCAATATCTTCCTTATTGGGGCGCGAATTTCCTTCTCTATCATTATTGTTGTGGCTGGTCCCATCTTTGTTAGAAAACAAAGCTTCGGACATTCGTTTGAGTATGATTTCTAGCTTAGTTTGTCAGCCATTCCCAGCTCTATTTGGTGCATGCTGTCGTGGAGACTTCCAAGTGCAGCTTCCAAACTCTTAATACGTTATTTGTTGGTTGCCACTAAAACCTCGCTTTGATACCACCGATAGGTCCCACACACTCCCAGTCAAAGGAGGATTGCAATAGCTAGATAGATAATATTCTCTTTGGATGAGAATGAAACCACAATAATTTGGATAAATATTTTCACCTCCTCAATGACTACTCAGCAGAATTTAAATAAACATGAAACTAACAACCTTTTCTAGATTCTCAATCTCATCTTTTGAAAATAAAGACCAACAATCATACTGTCAACAAACTAGAAACAGACTAATAGGTGACAAATACTAAACAATTTCCTCCTTGGATAACAGCCTTGACCAAGTCTCTTTGACAAGCTTTGACCACGTCTTCCTCCATCCCACGCATGCACTCAATTCTCCTTCATCCTATGCATCTTGGGCACATATCAATTTTGCTAGAACAGTTGGAAAAATGTTTTGGGGATTTATTAGGTGTGGTCAACAAACTTAATAACTTTTGCTTACCAGAAATTTTGTTCAAGAAAGAAATCCTGTAATGTGAAATAAGGTTCATCTTCTTATATCAAAAAGTACTTAAAGGCAGTTGATAATTACATAGGGATGGACATAATCACATTCATGCAGTAGGTGGTGGCATTTTGAAGTTTCTATCAATCACTTCTTGTAAATTTTCAACTCAAGTAACATAGGCTTTCCTCGACAAGATTGTTCTCTCAACCATGACTAAACAAATAATGAATCAATTGATCAGAGCTATTAGCCCTTTTCCTTTCCCAAAATAGATTTGCAACCCTCAGATTGAAGAGG